CATTATTAACGTCAATTCATGATGTTGAAGTATGATTTCACAGACGCCACTTTTTTGTACGGCCGTGAGCGGACAAAAAAGTACTTTTTTGTACGCTGACGGCCGTACAAAAAAGTAGAATTTTTAACAGGGAAAATAATTATTAGTTGAACTTTTAAACTTTATTAACGATAATAATTATTAATAGTAAAATTACAGTTATTTAAGGTTGCCACGCACATATTTAATGCACTACCTGATTTATTCACTTCCAATTCAAGCGAATTTTGTGCAGAGTTGAAAGAGTTCATCGACAAAATTTCACGTGACTCCTTACTTGTTGTTGCTTCTGTTACATCAACGTCGACATAATTTCGCTCATGAGAAGCTGCATTCAGGTACAGTGAAGAAGAATTCGACATCAAGATTTTTTCTGCAGTTTGTTTTTTATTAGACAAAGAGTCTTCAATGTATCCTTCAGCGACAGTGCTCGACCTCCAACCTCCATGCCGTTTCAAACAAGTAATATCAGCTCCTCCATCCACAAGCAAAGTAGCTGAAGTTCTTCTTAACGCATGGCCGGTGTAATCTTTTGAATTCGGTAGTTTTAAATAAGTTGCTAGTGTTTTGGGTACGTTACTAATTGTATGAATTCCCATGACCATGCGATAACATTTTCCCTTTTGAAATTTCAAAAAAAAGCGTCGGCTTTCCATAGCTTGTGGACGTAAAGAAGTATATTTTCTGTAAAGATTTATATATTTTTCTCCAATAATTGTGAACGATCGTGGCTTTTTAGATTTACTATCAGGAATCTTTATATGAATAACAGATCCTAAATCTTTTATATCGTCTATTGTCATGTTCACCATTTCATGGCATCTACATGCTCCAGATGCGCCCATTATTAGAACAACCTAAAAGTAGTATGTATTTAAAAACTTGATTGTATTTATGCAGGTTAGAATATTATAACTAACCTTAATTCCTAGATATTGCTCATTAGGTGCATTATTTAAAAAATCTTCAAACTGGTCTTTTGTGAATACCTTTGACTTTTTGGGAGTATACCCTTCATTCTGCTTCTTCAGATAAGCACGTAGTTTCATATATTTGCTAATATCTAATCCATGTTTAATATTCAGTAATGATTTTATCATGGAATACTGAGACCACATTGTTGAACTCTTCATTTTTAATTTAGTTGTCATTTCAAAAAAATAAGCTAGTAGCACATTTTCCGAATAGTTTGAAATGTTTTTATCATTTCACCGTGTGAGAAATCTTTCGTAAGCATGATTATAAACTCTACTTGACTTAGTTGGAATTAAATCATTCGTAGCTGCCTTAGCAATGTCAACAACGTCGGGCGGTGTACAGTTGGGTTCTGAATCCGACATAATATAATCTAAAAGAAAATTTCAGTACACTTTACTACAACAAACGAAATTTTGATGCTCAAGTACTTACCAAAAATGCACAGTCCAATTGTTGCTTTAAATCACTTACAATATTTCTGACATTATAAAATATTATTGAACTGTCAAATTTGTTTTTGACTTGGCAATCACAAAACCAGTAACCACGGAAATGTAGTGCGCAGTTTTATAATTATTATTCTCTGAATTTATCAACTTCGTTGCAATCGTTTTGAATTTTTATTTAAATATTAATTAGTTCTATAGTCTGGATGTTGTTTGCGGAAAAAATAGCATGTTTCATTCGGAGCAAAAGCACTTTTTGTGGCTCGTCTGAAATTGTCGGCCTCACTAACGTTCGGCCATCAAACATTCAGACTCCCCACAAAAAGTTATACTTTTACTCCTAATAAAACAATATACTATTTTTAACTCTGTCAATGAATATGCAGAACATTTTTGGTCTACATGCATCTTAAATTACATTCTACCTGATGATAATAATTTTAAATTTTATTAGTACCCACCTAATAAGTGTTTTGTTATTATTCTCAATTTTTTTATATGACTTACTATCAGTGGCGGCTCGTGGGGTGGTTCACAGTGACAGAATATAGGTATCAGTACAGATGTATTAAAAAACTTTCGGTGTTTTAGAAAGTTTATAATATACTTTTCTAAAACACTGACAGTTCTTTACCTATATTTGTACCGGGATCTATATTCTGCTACTGTGAACCCCCAAAATTTTGGTCACGAGCCGCCCCTGCTTACTATAAACATAAAATGGTTATTAAAATTATTTTGCTTTATTCTCTTTTCGAATACATTTATTTTAAAATCCTACAACCACATTATACTTGATTTTTTTTTTCAGATCGGCTTTGGGCAGCGTTCCAAACACTCCAATCATCACACGCATGTCTCCCAGAGATAGTCCCGAGAAAAATATTTCCACAAATAACGTATTACCTCCACCACCTCAATCTTCGGGATCAGAATCTTCAGGTTACTTCACCCCTCCTCCCGAAACCAAAAAAGCATTCGTAAAAATAGATAGTGTGGAAAGAACTTCAGAATCAGAAGACAAAGAAGACTTGGAGAACGATACAAATAATAATGAACAAGCAAATATAGAGGAAGTAGATAACTCAACTGAGTCTTTTAAGGTATGTTATTTAGTAAAATGCCAACCTTATGTGTAATGTTCAAAATTCACTTTTTAAGATGAAAATAATACAACAACCTGTATAACTCTCATAAGGATCAATCCTTTTTTTTTGTAAAAGTAGTATTTTTAAAGAACTCACACCAAAAAAGGAAGCACTCTCTCTATCTCAAATTGTTCTTTGCCCAGCAAATAAATTGATTTAGCACAATCAGTATTGGTTTCAGTAAAATATAAGTTAGTACCTCAAACAGAAAGATACTGTAGAAAACTCCTTCCTTTGTAAACAATTTGTTTTATATTTTTAGAGAAACTTGTCGGCGAGTTCCGCCGAGACAGCAGATCCTACTGAAGAACCAGTTCATTTATCTCCTATAAAAACTGAAATAATAGAAAAGGAACAAATTCAAAGATTCAGCATATCCCGTTCCAAAGAATCCCTCTTCACCGAAAAACCTATAAGCGAATATCGAAGCAAGAGCAAATCTGTTGTAGACCTTCAAAATTTTCTACCGGAAATATCAGTACACAGAAAAAATATTAATTCAGCTCCTTCACTCAAAGATGAAATACTTAATGGCAACAATTTTATTATAACCAGCAGTGAAGAAGTGCAAACCGTCATCCCTTTGTCCAGCGATGTGAATGAAAACCCTGAATCGCCTACTAAAGAAATTACTATCACCAGAAAGTTAAGTAGAAGGTTATCAAGAACTCAAAGCAGAAGATCTAATAGATCAACTCCTAGAGAACCAACACCGAATTCTTCACGGGTCAGCAGCAAGTCCAAAGACTCCCTTCAACTAGCTCTCAATCAACTAAACAATTCTGAATGGGAGGTAATGATCCAGGGTTTGCAGGCTTTGACGAGGTTGGCTAAATATTACCCAGAAGTTATCGAAGCACAGATGCATACTGTTTGCGTAAATTTGGCAAAGCATATAAAGAATTTAAGATCGCAGGTAGCTAGGACCGCTTGTCTTACGGCTAGTGAGATTTTTGGGTCATGTAGGAGATCTTTGGAAATAGTAAGTAGAACATATTTGTTATCTTCAGGAAGCAAACAAACAGGTTTGTTGTGTTTCTAAACTCAGTATTTTCACCAAAAAAATTGTGTTTTACGATATAGACCTTTGCATTTCTTTTAATATGCGATTCACAAGTGCGTGTGTAAGCTACAGAAAGTAGGCATTGGTGTGACCAAAAAAGAAATGATGCCACCTTTGCAATTTATACAAACTGACCGCGTTGAAACGTTGCCCTGGTCATATAGGTGACATCACTGGTATTGTTTTTTCATGCTAGCTTCAGTGCTGGCTCTATATAGCTTCGACACGCACTTGTGCCAAAGGGTATTAAAAGATGGCCAATACTGTATATGTCCATGTGTGGATGAATTAAATTAATAGTAAAAGATAATTAAAAATTACACAGATTCCTTTTAAGCATTAATCAAAAAATGCTCTTGTTTTTTTAAATTAGTAAAACTACTAGGATGTTCTATAATAAGTGTTCGCAAACTGACTTTACACATTTTAATCAACCCAAATTCTTAGTCAGAAAATAATGGATGTCAAATTATCTAATACACTTTACTATCATCTGCCTCAAAGTTGGTTCTGTAGTTTTAAGTATATGTTATAAAACTATTTAAAAAATGTGGTATTAAAGCTGATATTAATTAAAAAGAAATAAATTGATAATTTTTTTCTGATATTATGTATTGATGAAACTTTACATTTGGGTTTGTTACATCACACTGCCGAGTTTTATTGACATATTTTGCTCTTATAACAATAGAATAAAAACATATCATTTCTTGTTAGTTTTCTCTATAAAATATTTTTTCTGTGATTCTTCTGTAATTCATCTGTTATTTTCTTTTAATTCTTCTGTAATTCTCTTGTAATTTTTCTGTAATTCTGCTGTAATTTTTCAATAATTCTTCTGAAATTCTTTTGCAATCTTCTGTAATTATTCTGCAGTTCTCTTATATTTTTTTTCTTTCGTAATTCTTTTGTAATTCTTCTGTATTTTGTTTGTAATAATTTTGTAATGATTTTGTAATTGTTCTGTAACTCTTTTGAAATTCTTCTGTAATTATTTTGTAATTTTTATGTAATTCTGCAATTATTCTGTAATTATTCTGTAATTTTTCTGTAATTTTTCTGTAATTTTTCTTTAATTCTTTTGTAATTCTTCTGTAATTATTCTGTAATTATTTTGTAATTCTTCTGCAATTCTTCTGCAATTCTTCTGTAATTCTTCTGTAATTATTCTGTAATTCTTCTGTTATTCTTCTGTTATTCTTCTGTAATTCTTCTGTAATTCTTCTGTAATTCTTCTGTAATTCTTCTGTAATTCTTCTGTAATTCTTCTGTAATTATTCTGTAATTATTCTGTAATTCTTCTGTTTTTCTTATGTTATTCTTATGTTATTCTTCTGTAATTCTTCTGTAATTCTTCTGTAATTCTTCTGTAATTCTTCTGTAATTCTTCTGTAATTCTTCTGTAATTCTTCTGTAATTCTTCTGTAATTCTTCTGTAATTCTTCTGTAATTCTTCTGTAATTCTTCTGTAATTCTTTTGTAATTCTTTTGTAATTCTTCTGTAATTCTTCTGTAATTCTTCTGTAATTCTTCTGTAATTCTTCTGTAATTCTTCTGTAATTCTTCTGTAATTCTTCTGTAATTCTTCTGTAATTCTTCTGTAATTCTTCTGTAATTTTTCTGTAATTCTTCTGTAATTCTTCTGTAATTCTTCTGTAATTCTTCTTTATTTTTCAGTATTTTTTTCATTATATTTTTTTAGTATTTCTTCGGTATTGTTTAGATATTTTTTCGGGATTTTTTCGGTATTTTTTCAGTATTTTTCAGTATTTTTCAGTATTTTTCAGTATTTTTCAGTATTTTTCAGTATTTTTCAGTATTTTTCAGTATTTTTCAGTATTTTTCAGTATTTTTCAGTATTTTTCAGTATTTTTCAGTATTTTTCAGTATTTTTCAGTATTTTTCAGTATTTTTCAGTATTTTTCAGTATTTTTCAGTATTTTTCAGTATTTTTCAGTATTTTTCAGAATTTTTCAGTATTTTTCAGTATTTTTCAGTATTTTTCAGTATTTTTCAGTATTTTTCAGTATTTTTCAGTATTTTTTAGTATCTTTTTGTATTTTTTTCATTATTTTTTTCAGTATTTCTTATTATATTGTCACGTTATGCGTGTTTTTTATAAAACAAAGTGTCACGATTTACGTGTTTTAAATAATTATGGGACTATCTATGTCCCGGGGTTAAATAACAAAATATATGAATTTGGGCCTCAATCACAAAAACACTATTTAGCCTTAAACTTGGCTTCTTAGCCCTTAACTGTATAAGGGTTCTACTCTTGATGTTAGAACCTGACACGTCTCTGTGAAAGGGCTGAAGGAAACACAATGTTTTCTCAAAACAAATATAATATTAAAATTACAACGATTATACAAAATATGTCTTAACTCGACATACACAAATATGGGGCTCAATATAATATTAAAATACAAAAAATATTAACTTACCAACTCCAATTTTGGGGCACATGTCACAACTCTTGCCTGACTAAAACGCAATTATTCAAAATACTAATAAACGACTTTTAATTTAAACTATAAAGATTATGATCTGGAGCTGCTACAGGGAATCTCCTACAAGGGGGACCTCCTATGGGGAGGATCCGTTCCCTGTCGAAAAAGCCCTCGTGCATCCCCTCGACATTACCTTTTTAACTTTCTCATCATTTTTTTGTTATTAAAACGAATGTTTAATAATTATTAAATAACCAACCTTGCACATTATTGCTGTTTAAAACAAATTGTTGACATAATTAAACAAAGTTTTATGTACAGGATGTTATTTAAATAATTAATTAAAATTAGGAAAAATATGAATTTATACGAATTTATACGAATTTATACGAATCGTGTTTTAGTATTTTTCTATAATTCTTTGGTAATTCTTCCGTCATTATTAACAAAAAATAGATGTCCAATGATCATCCACACAAAGTTAATGTGATATCAATGAACAGTGTCGAGTGTGATTTGGGACAAGTCCCGCCTGTAATTCGATCTCTTTTTTCAATATTTAACTATACTTTCTTGTATAATATAGGAATTAGAGGAAATCGCTGGTCCTCTTCTACACCGTACAGCGGACACCAACAAGTTTCTAAGGTCCGACGCGAACGCCGCTTTAGATGTAATGTGTGAACATCTTCCAATCACACGCGTCGTAGCTGTAATCACTTCCAGAGGCTGCACTCACCAAAACAGCGTAGTACGCTCTGCCGCTATAAGACTGTTGACAGATTTGGTGAAACGACATGGAACTGAGAAAATTTTTCAAATGAATAAGGAGGTAAACATTTAAAAAAATAATTTATACTTATTATGATTTATATTAACCTTCACCTGGCCAAGTGGGGTTCGTCGTGGGGTACATACCCCATGCTCTTTCTCGTCGATTTTCAATATCTAAATCTTCGAAATCGAAATTCGTAACGACATCTATTGGTAGTCAAGGGTTATAATAATACTCTCCCTAATTCACCCCCTTACGAGTGAATTTTAACCCCAAAAGCTGAGCTTGTGCGGGGAAAGGGACGCCTATTATTATTTGCCGTGGCGCTCCGGGGCGACTTAAAGATGATTGATGGTGCCATTTACTTAGAGGTGAGAAAAAACCCGGAAAACCTCACCCACCATCATCGAGACGGTAATGCATAGCGATTTTATAATTTGCATGTCATATCAACAAAAATTGAATTTCTATTAATACGGCACACATCAAATCCTATACCGAACCATGCAATTTAATTAAAAATTCACATGGTCTGGTCTAGTCTGGTATGAATCCTACATAGCCCGGCAGTCTCGGATCGTAAACTTGCCTATAAATGAATATGAGCGCGTTAGACTGATACACCACTGACCCGATACTTTTATACATAGCCCAGTGCGATAGCGCTCTCAAAATAAGTACCTTTTTTTAAGACATAATAAGACAATTATTATTCTTTTATAGTGATGTAACAGAAAAAGACGCAGCTAAAATTTCAGCCCTTTTTATAGAAAAACAAAAAAGTTATGATTTTTGTTGTAAAAAACGCATTTTTTTCAAGTTTTCCATTTTTCCGGACTTTTATGAACGATAATCTTTATTTTTTTCAACTCGGACTATTCTAAAGTTTAAAGTGGCAACTAAAGAGGATCTCTGAATTTTTTTGAGACAAAATAATCAATATTTCAATTTTTACAGAGATTTTTATCACTGGGGTTCGTACGTACCCCACGAGTCCAGGTATGTTACTCAGGATGAACATGCTGGGTGAAATTAGAACTAATATAATTGTTCTTCCTGCTTCCATCGTATTTTTCTTTTCTTCTAGTTATGAAGGTATTGTAGATAATTTGTTAGCAGACATTTTATCTTTAGAGTTTTTATATTCTTTTAATTTTTTCTATTCTTTTTAAAATATGAACTTGATAGTATGTCTAGTTACGGAGGTATTGTGGATAATTTGTTAGCATACTTTTATCTTTGGAGTTTTTATATTCTTTTAATTTCTTTTCTACTCTTTGACGGCTTGCGATAAATTATCACTGTTACATATAAATATGTATAGACTTATTCGTTTTAAAATATTAACTTGATAGTATGTCTAGTTATGAAGGTATTGTAGATAATTTGTTAGCAGACTTTTTATCTTTAGAGTTTTTATATTCTTTTATTTTTTTTTTACTCTTTGACGGCTTGCGATGAATTGACAATACCACAATTACATATAAATATGTATAGATTTATTCGTTTTAAAATATGAACTTGATAGTATGTCTAGTTATGGAGTTATTGTAGATAATTTGTTGGCAGACGTTTTATTTTTACAGTTTTTTTATATTCTTTTAATTTTTTCCTACTCATTAACGGCTTGCGATGAATTGACAGTACCACTATTACATATAGATATGTATAGACTTATTCCATTTAAAATATGAACTTGATGACATGTCTAGTTATGGAGTTATTGCAGATAGTATGTGGGCAGACGTTATATTTTTACAGTCTTTTAATATTCTTTTAATTTTTTTCTATTTTTTGACGGCTTGCGATACATTGACAGTAACTTTGTTGGTAAGGTGTATGAATAGATTAAATCGTGTTAAAATATTAACTTGATAGTATGTCTTGTTTTGTACTAATTTAAGATTGTTTGTTGGCCGCGATATATCAAAATCTTAAAAAGACCAAATTTTCATTTCTCTTGAATACAAATTTTCTTAAATCTGGTTTATTATCTATTTCATGGTTTATATTTGTTTTAAATGATCTTGCTTCTACTTTTTATTTGATAATTACTGCAATATTTATTTATTAAAATTTATTAACCTAGGACCGACGCCACTGTTCTTTCGGACTCCTTCGCCATATTGGCTGCCAATTTTGTGCTGCTAAGTTCACATCAGTATAAAATCCTATATGGCCGGAATAGGGAAAATGAGCAAAATTAAATTTTGAGATATTACATAGAGTGTTTCACTAAAAAACATAACTTTGGTATGCTGTGACTTACGAAATAATTTTAAATGTGGAGCTGGACTTTGTCTATAATTTGTATTTTAAACTTTTGTTAGTATCCCTCAAAACAAGAGAGATATCAAACTCCGGAGTATAATTTGATCACCCTGTATGTAATTTGAACCTCATATCCAAAAAAAAACAAACAATATTTGGTGATTAAAAATTCCAGTTTTCTAAAAAATGAATTGATTCCAAATTTAGTCTCTCACAGTATATTTGTTGTATTGTTTGACTTAAATTTTCCTTTATATATAAGGTGTAAACAATTTATAAGTGCACACTATAAAGAAAAATAGTGCTTAATTATTATAATACCAACTTATTTTGAAAAATAATTGTTTATACACTTGTGGTAAACGGAATTACTAATGCCAACCCTCCTTTACCACAAACACACACACGCGCGCGCATTTAGGTGTCTCCACATACTTTGATTTTCTTTACTATACGGTGCAAGAGAGAGGTCCGACACGCCCAACATAGGGCGCGGCCATTTTGATTCCTATGCCACAGTTTATAGCTAAAGAATCAGATCGCTCACTCTGCGTCGGCACTTTTGATCTCAATGTTCCAGTTTATACACTGCGCAACTCAGATAATACAATATATGACAACCGCCTATAATAAAACAGCAGTCTTCTGCGTATCCTGAATTTGTATCCCTGGAGTGGATGTTATTTTGGAACTTTCAGCTGGTCCGAGTGAGCTAACTGATTCTTTAGCAATAAACTGTGACCTCAAAAATAATCATTGATCTGGCAACCTAGGGATACGACATGCGTAAACGAAAAGTGGGACCGGTCCGCCATTACTGTGAGTGCAAATTGTCAAATTTTATAGGTTATATTTTTAGTGTCACTTGTGTAATTATATTTGAATTTAATTTGTGTTTGAGCAAATTTTGAGTGTTAAAAACTTATAAAGTATATAATGCCTTGCTGTGTTATACGTTCCTGCTCCAGCGATAGACGTTTTTGTGAAAAATCGACTGGAATAACGTTTCATAGGTTAGTATCAAAATTATAAATATTATACAGGACAGTATTATGACAGGTTTGTATAAAATGTGTACTTTTAAAAATGCAAAAAAAAATCATCTATCAACTTTTGGGCCCACCTATATTGGAATAAATACTTTTTCATACGAAATAATACTTATAGATTTCCAAAAAATCCTGAAAAAC